CATTAAGCCAGTGATGTTTCTCCTTGCCCCAGAACATCCCTATGGCTTTTGCATACTTGAGGGAATTGGATGGTTATGAGATCTAATTGCCTTCAGAAGCAGATGGTTTAAGGATTAAAACAGATCACTAAATGGGAGCTGGTAACAATTGTCTAGAGAGCTAGGAGGGACCTTAGAAATTTTCTCCTGAGCTGGGACCATCCATTAAATCAGCCGCAGACCAACCATAAAAAGTCCAGATCTACCGAAGGGAGACAATCAAGCAGTTCCATCATCCAGCTGCAGAAAAGTATTTGGGAGAAAGACTCAGGCTAGTCATTGATGCTACTTTAGTGGTTGTAGCATGGAGAAAGTGATCCAAACTGCTCTGAAGCATAGGGACATTCAGAGTGAGGTTTCTGCCTCAGTGACCTCTTGAATTCATTTCAAGGCCACACCTAGCAGCCACATGGATGTTGCTCCTCTGCTCTGAGCTGAATGTGCAGGTTCAGAGGTGAAAGGAAAATGAAGGAGAGAGTCATTTCTGAGGGTTTTTTTCCCCTTTTCCTTTCACAGCTCTACTGGTTCACAGTGGAGTTTGGACTCTGCAAACAAAATGGGATAATCAAGGCCTACGGAGCTGGGCTTCTGTCCTCTTATGGGGAGTTAATAGTAAGTCTCAACCTATCCACCCTTCTTGGTTTACAGACTCAGTGCAGTAAAGAACCCCCTTCTCTTGCCTCTCACCTTCTGATTTCTATAGCCAATCCACTTGCCCTATCCCTCTCATGTGCATCAGGTATAGTCTCCATTTTAAATTTTTTGTTTGTGGTTTGCTCAGCACTCACTATCAGATGAACCGGAGGTCCGGGATTTCGACCCAGATGCTGCTGCTGTGCAGCCCTACCAAGATCAGAGCTACCAGCCAGTGTATTTTGTATCGGAGAGCTTCAGTGATGCGAAAACCAAACTCAGGTAAGAGTCTTGGAAATGCCAAGATGAAAACTAGGTTGACAGAGTCAAACATATTAGGACCTGCACAGGCCTTGTGTCATTCAGAACAATGCTTGGTACTTATAGCGTCTCAAAAGTACTTTATGGAAAATCATTTTAGGCCTCAAGACTCTACAGGCAAGTCAGTTTTTGCTTCTTTTTTAAAATGGGGAAAACGAAGGCACAGAGTTTAACCTCCAGGAATCCTAACTGTTAATCTTTTGCTCAAAACAGGAGTCCAGAAGAATTACCTACCCACTTGATCCTTTATCTTTTTGAGAACACTAATCCAGCAAGTGGCAGGAATTGGAAGGTAGATCAGGCTTCATGATTTAAAAGAATAGCCACATCTACTACCTGCTTCTTATCACAAGGATCCAAGAGCATAGCCCTACCTCTACCATCAGTGACAGCCTGACATTGCAGAGGGCAGGCAAAGAGACTAAAAACTCATGCCTGGTTGTAGATCCCAAGGTCTGAGTCGAAGTTCCCCTTAAATCTCCAGTCTAGTACTCTGTTTTTTTTCAGTCACTCTCCCTACCCTGCCACGCTGCTAACAGTTATCTCATCAGTGCAAGTGTGTTTATATACATTTATACATCTGTGAAGGGCTGAAGAACAGGGCTGCAGCTGAAAGAGTCTGTAGAGAAAAAAATGACCCCAAAGTCCCACAATTCTATGCGAGAAGGCAACCAGTAGGCCTCAGTTATGAGAGTTCAGTCTAATTTTTGGTTTTGCTCCCCTCATGAAGGTCTTTGTTAAGTAAGTCCAAACCATATTTGCTAGATGAGAAATCTACTAATTGGCTTGTCGTATGTACATTGTGATATATTTGAAACTTGTGTGAGCTCTCAGTAGTTGCTAGGTATCTGACCTACCCTTGCAGAAATATTCAGCTAATGAATGCTTTTCAGAGCTTATAACATCTTAGTCTCAAATTTCATTGGTTGACTAGCTCATCATATAATATCCTGCTGTTGGGGTATAGCACACATGGAGGTTCTAGAGAAAGACCCAAAGACATCTGCCTATTTCAGTAACATCATTTGAATCTACTTCCCACTAAGAAAAAAAAATCATTATTCTGACTTTAAATGTCCTAATATGGCATAAACAATTAAAAAAACCCACCCTACATTTGCATAGTACTCTATGGACAAACGACAAGTCCTTGCCTTGAGGATAACTTGCAAGCTGCTCTGGGGAGGAAGGCCCTACTCATACTGTTTTGGCCCTACATCAGTGCAGGAACACATAGGATGCTTTGTAGGACTGAGCCTTGAAGTAATACAGCAAGGTCCATGCAACGATTTTTCAGTCATCTTCAGTGCTGTGGGAGACTGCCCTGGTTACAGTCTTTCTATTAACTGATGTGCAGAACAGTCTACAAAAGAAAATACTTATGCTCCATCCTTTTATTTCTTTTTAAAATGAGAAACATTGCCTATTTTCTCATTATGAAAGGAAATATAGGTGTTTGTTAAACAATGCATCTCAAAAGGTCAGTGATTCTCCCAAGCCTAGTGGCCCACTGGCTACAGAGCCTCATGTGTCTTAATCATGTGAGCCCAGTGGCATGTAGGAGCATGATGTGTTCACTACTTTCAGCTGCCTTTGACTAACTAACCCAATCCATTTACTGCAAGGGTTGGCCACTATCTGAACCCTGGTCTGGATTCATATCTCATGCATCTGAAGCAACCCCATCTGACTTGTTGCTGCATCCCACATAGTGTACATACTTAGGATTTCTTGAAACTAGAATAATTTATCATAAATAGTGTGCTCATAGCCTACCATGTCTCATAGCCTACCTGAATCACTAGTGAACCCATGAACCTATTTAACACACCAGCACCCTTTACTGTGCTTTCAGTGTTTGCCTGAGACACAAGTGTTCAGGTTTGCTCCTTCCCAATCTCTCCTTTCCAAGAAACTCAGCTGCTTCTTTGATGCCAGATAATTTAATTATCCATCTCCATTTATTGGAAATTCACAGTATCGCAGAGAATTGCTTACAATACCTGACCCTGCTAGAAGACCTGATACTTGATGCTATTTAAAGGTTCAATGAAGGCCACTTAGATATTTATACATGAGCTGAACATGAGGTAACTAATGCAAATATTAATAATGACAAGAATAATAATCATCATAATGATGAACCATCACCAGTTTATACTATAATAGGAGTCAAAGTCATGGACCAAGTTCCTATTGTGCCAGACACAGAAGACAGGCAGAGAAAGAGAGTTAGTTCTTCAAAGTTTTATATTCTGGCAGATACATTGCTACCCATCCAGTTTCCAGCCACCTACAGTAATACTAATGCTTTTTTGTGAATTAGGCAGCTATAAACTGGACGTGGACAAATTTAGACTGAAATTAGAAGGAAAACGATACCCTTCAGATCTGTGAGGATCTGCAATGATTTACTAATTGCAAGGAGGACCGTGATGGGAAGGAAGGAGCAGAAAATACCCAGCTAGCTTTTAGATGGTGTTTGATCAGTTTCTGAAAAAGATACTCTGACACAGTTGCCTGAGATATCTGAGAAGGTCCCCTCCAATCTTGTGCCTTATGTTATATTCTGCCCTACCCTATTTGCAAGAAAAACCACACTTTTGGCAATTGGACTCCTCTTAATCACCCACATTAACCCTTTCAGCAGTAGCATAAGTGAGGTGGGGATGATTGGGGCAGGCTGATTGCACTGCTACAAATCAAACACAGCAGGAGTCGTCACTGCTGTGGGCACCATGTGGCTAGAGCAGCACTGCTATGCCTCTGCTTTTCAGTGCCCCACCAGACCATCTTTCCCTTCTTGAGCCAGAATTTATAGAGCTAATAAATCTAACCTGGGTAACAATGAAAATGCTGTATTTGATAAAGGCCTCAGTAGGTGAGGGGGAAAGATCATACCTTTTCCAAATATCTATCCTCCATATTGTAGCAGGGTTAGAGTGTTGTAGGCATGATGATTCAGGAAATATACAAGGAATGTCACTTGATGCCTGAAAGCTTGCCCAGCAGCTGTCCCAACTATACAGCTGATCCAGTAAAATGTATCATAAAGAAACCTTGCCTCCCTCAAAATTCACTGCAATTGAATGTCTCTAACATACCCACAAGAGGGTGCCATAACCTAAGAAATTAGGAAGTGTTAAGGAGAGTATAGACTTAATAAAAGCTGCAGGTCTCTTAGATAGGGAATATATAGTCAAATAGTGGCTGCAGATGCCATGTAGAACATATCCACTTTTATTTTTTTCCTCTGTTTCTCACACCTTTGGATTTTAGAACATTGACCACTGGGGCCTGTTTTCAAAAGGTGCTGAGGATCCACAATTATGATTGTAGCTAGATCCAATTGAAAGTAAAAGTACTGTAGCTTTCACATATAGAGATACTTAGCAAGTGTGCCCTGCATTCCCAGGACTTTTGCAATAAACCAAAAGTTTATTGAAAGTTGGAAGTGTTTTCATGAGAATGTCCTTCTTGTTTTTCAAATCTGTACTAATTCCAATCCATCTGTATTTACAAATTTCTCTCTTCAGGAGCTATGCAGCACGCATCAGGCGGCCTTTCTCAGTGAAATACGACCCATACACCCACAGCATCGAGCTCCTGGATAACCCACAAAAGATCCATCACTCCCTGGAAAATGTGAGGGATGAACTTCATGCACTAATTGATGCACTGAATGTTATCAACTAGTATGAGAACCACCCTGGTTTCCCCCCTTATGCCTCCGCCATCTCCTCCTCCCACTGTGGCCAAGATGGCCACCTGCTCTCTTTCTCTACCACAGTGCCCTTTTTGAGGTCCTTGCCAGAAGCTCCAATCTGTTTTCTTAGGGCTGCTCTATCACCATAGGTATCAGGATGCTATTCAATAACCATTGCAAACAGGTGCATGTGTTTAAAGATGAATCAGTTTCTACAGAAGGCCAAAGATTTAGTCTATAGCTCAGTTAAATCATTGGAAGCCTTTCTATTGTCTACTGCTAGTTGACTTGGGAATCAGTCCCCACAAGTAAATCCTGAGCATCTTGCTGCATGGCCTGCAGATCATGGTTTCCCAAGCAAAGTGAAGAGGACAAGAGCAGAAGAAAGATATAGGGAGTCAGGGATTTTACTTTAAGATCCCTTAAGAAACATGTTCCTTTAAATTAAAGAAATTCCAATAGAAACTTCACAAAGTAGCCCTTTCTGCTTACTCTCCCCCCCACATCACTGCTTTTGAAAGAGAGGATGTTCTGAGTGAAACCTGAAAGCTCTAACTCTTAAGTTAAGAATTCAGCCCAAACTAAGCCTAGATCCCAGAAACCTGATGCTCTCTTAAGGCAGGAATAAATTTCAGGAGCTTTTTCTGGGTCTTGACCTGAGCTAAATTGGCAGGCAAGATCAAGTATCTGAGTTGCACCAAGTTCCTAAACTAGCATGAGTTTCACATATAGAGAAGTCTGGTCTCCAGACAGAAGTAAATTCCTAAAATAATATTGTTCCCTCCATCCTCATTCTTAAGATTGGCCGCTCAAAGCCAGAGCTCAGAGTAAACTGAACTCCCAGTCTGGAGACAGCACCTCTATCCCAGGAACTTTGTGTGGTCACTTAACTCCCCCCACCCCCCTTCCTGGAGTCTTATGAATCAGGCCTTTCCACCTGACCCTTAATAATAAACTCTGAAAGATAATAACAAACACTTGGGGTTTTTCTAGCTGCAGGAAATACTCCTCTAACATCTGGCCCCAAAATACAATTATCTGGGCAGCTACCTTTTTTCAAGATAAGATAATTAGAAGGAGGGAAGAAGAACCAACCCTACAGCTGAGCTCACTGTTCTGATTTCCACCTACAGGAAATCAAGAGCACCTGCCCTGCCATTCACTTCAACAGGGAGGCTTTGGTCTATTTTACATCACTCCAGTAAAAGAATATGCCATAGTGTTTCAATATTCTTTTCCCAAATCTTTCCCTTACCCCTCTGCATGCAAAGAGGCTGAATAAAGGGAACCACTTGTGGTTAAAGGTGCCTTAGCAATAGGAGTGAATGACACTCAGACTGAACCCAGTGTTGAAACACATGCTTAACTTTAAGTACATGAGCAATCCACTCAGCGTATATCCAGTGCTCACTGACACCCATAGGGAATTTTATGATGACAGCAAATGACATTGGATCAGACCCACTGTTAAATGTGTCACTTACTTAAAGATAAGTGTGTATTGTAAGTGTTCTGGGGCTGATTCTGGGAGCAGTGGTGCCATTTCCCCAGATCTCATAAAAATGGCCTGGAGGATGAACATGCAAACAAGTCATTGGTTAAATCCTTCTGCAAACACAGCATCTTGGGTGGCGGAAACCAAGGGGGCAGTGAGGAGGAAGAAGATGCAAGGCCTTCATCTGAGTCAGCTTTCAGTTTTTTCATTGATATCTGTGTGTACTTAGTGCCTCAATGAACAGTTCTCTCACTGTTGTTGCTGCTGCTGCTACTGCTATGGATGGAGCTGTCTGTCTGTGTAAAGGGAAAAATATTTTTCATTTTGGAATTGTGCTGCTGCTGACATAATATTATTATTAATAAAAATATATTTCTGGTCTAGCAGCTTGGTTTTGGCTCTTGTGTCTTTCCTCATGTCCAGATCCAGGCCTGGCCCCTTGCCTGTGGGGAGGCCAGTAATACTACTGGGATCTCTTAGATCAGATCTTCAAGTTGTATGTAGAAAAACTGCCCATTGTTTCTAAGGAACAGGCTTACTTGCTGCTTTCACAAGGTATCGTAAATCACTCAGTAATGCAGACAGCCATTAACAGGAGGTTTGTTTCATATGAGTGATGCTTGTGTGAGTAACAAAGTGAAGGATGCATGGAACAATATCTTTACTTCACTTTTCCCCATTCTAAAATTTCCTCACTCTTACTACCACGTGTTCAGCTCCAGCAGGATTAGCAATACTTGCAAAGACCGCACATACACAACCATCCTAGCACACTGCAGCCCAGGACTCCTGAGCTCAAGCTGTGATTACAGGCATGAACCACCATGCAGGTAGCAGGTACCCTAACATGGCTCTTTGTCCCTCTCTAACCAAGCTAGACCAGATATAGAGCTTTATGAGTTCCTTACTGTCTTTGACCAGAGAGGTGGCTAACCTGGGGACCACCTTCACCTCTGCCTACATTACTGCTTCAACTGGAACATCTGTACAAGTGTAATGTAGAAATAGCCAACTAATGGTCTACAAAAGAGGGCTGCAACAAAGCAGGGTGGAAATAGAAATGTAAAAAAATCAAGGCAGTTCTTTTCAATCTTCATAATTTTTTTGCCAGTATTTTTACAGGTGCTGCAATTTCTCTCAAGCTTCTTCACAGGCTGTAAATAACAATGAGTTAGATATTTTGATTCAGGAACATAAGCATGGAAGGGATCTCTCAAACATCAGGGCCAGTCCCCTGGTATCACAGGTAACTGTGTCATATAATCTTTTCATAACTTTATCAAGGTCTAAACTGTAGTTAAGTTTATTGCATGCATAGCTCTAGGTTTTCCAGAGCCTCACTGCTTTAAGGGTTAAAAGCTTTCTTCTAAACTTCCCTATAGATTTAACTTGGTTTATTGCCAATATGAGGTCAAAATTATGCTCCAAATCTCTGGAACTTGAAAACCAGCAAGGCACTAAGCCACAAGCAGTTGCATTAAAGTTAATCAGACTTTATACATGTTTAAAATAAAACATGTCCTAAGGACATAGGTCTTGACTTCATTAAATTTTGGATGAAGAACAAATCATTACACCCTTAGTGCAATTACATTAGTATACTGTATTTGGAAGTTTTATTTAAGATCATCATGTCCTGAAAATAACTAGTATGTGTTTTCTAGGAAATCCATTTACTTGATCTGTTTGTTAGCCGGAATTGCTTTAGGTACTGTGCATTTAACACACATAATTGTGCATTACTATTCTTCAGTGGCATCATTTTTAAAAGGGTTAAAGTTGGTTTTACTGCTTGTACTTTACCAGAGGGGCAAGCCATACATTACAGATCCAGCTACTGGCCACAAGAGGGGGATCTTCTTTCTGCACCTCTTCTAAATTATATATGGCCCCCTACTACAGGACACGAGTGCCCCATAACTTTTAGTGTACTGATTCTTAGGGCTGTGCAAAGCTTCGGGTAGTGATTTGATTTGGAGGAGATTTGGCCTGATTCTGTGGCTTTATCTCCAAATCCGAATCAAATCAGGGGACCAATGAAACGGTCCAAATCAATTCCAAGCTCTCTGAATCTTCAGAAAAGATCCTCATGGGGGGCCCCTGCCAGCCCCCCTGACTCCCCCCGCTCCCCCATGGCTGCCCCCACCTGTCCCAGCTTGGTACATTAAAAAAAGCCCCAGTGCACGCAGTGTGGAGCAGTGGGGGGGCAGCGGGGATCACCCCCCGCCCGGCAGCACCCGCTGAGTCAGGGCTTTTTTCCCCAAAGAGCAGGGAGCTGGGGCAGGGGAGGCAGCCATTTCTGGGCTGGGAGAGGGGCGGGGGATGGGCCTGGCTGAGTCGGAGATTTGGCCGAATTGAATCGGGACAGTGATTCAAAACACTGTCTCCCGAATCAGCCGAGTCCGAAGCTAATACTAGCCACTTCGCACAGGCCTATTGATTCCCATGTCATAGTGTGAGGTAGATAAGCACTATTGTCTCCAGCTATATGAGGTAGAGAAATTCAGGCAAAAGTCATCACAGTTGTTTAGGCACCTAAATGACTTCCCCAAGGTTACAGAAAAGTATAAAGTAGGACACAGGGAAATGAGTCTCTGCCTTCTGTATCTCAGGGTAAGCCACTAATCATTGGACTGTCTGTCCTTCCTTCCAGTGTAGTTCAATGGTGCAAGTACTGAGCCATTCATACACAAATGGTTATCTACATAGAAACATGTGAAATGATTTAAATAAAATAGGGTAAGAATGATGTAACTGTGAAATAAAATAAGAATAGACCTGCACCTTCACACAAATATCAAACTTCAAATCAAAGACCTAGCTTTTTTCTTTGAGGGGCTAAAAAGTGTGTGGTACATTGTATTTTTCCTTCATTGGTTTCCAATTCTCCAGCTTCTTTGTACTTGTGCATTATTTTGTTTGAAGCTGGAAGCAAAAGTGCTGAATTTCCTAGAGAAGCACCAGTCTTGTGATACTTTTGGCATAGCCAAAGCAGGAAGTGTCAGAAATCTCATGAAAAGGCCTGATTGAGAGATTTTTTTAGCCCAGTTTTGCTGACTGAGTGGTTTACAAAAGTATTTATACTTAGAAATACATATGTATTTACTACAGAACAGAAGTTAGGACAACACACCTTTGTTGTGTTCTCAAAATGCACTTCCCATGTTTTGTAAAATTAGTTCAATAAAAGAAGGGTTTGGGGCCTGAATTTTCAAATATGCACACAGATTTGTATGCAGCTTCCATATATGAAAATCAATGCATGTTAAATCCTGGCATGTCAGAAACATTGGGTATTACATAGGCACAAGTCAGCTGTGTAGTTGAGTGTGCCTAGATTCTTGCAACAGTTAGTTTTGAAAACCATGTTTTTCCCAAAATTCCCCCCTACAAAATCACCCAGAAACTGGTAGAGATTGGGTCCAGATCTAAACTCCCAGCATGCAAATACTGAAGTCAGCCTGTGAGCTCTGGCTCCTCCAGCTTAAACTGAACTCCACCTAATCTCCAAACCTTTTGAGTGTGCTCCTCTCTTAGGGAGAGAGAGAAGTGTGTGTATACATCACATTTAAAAGATTCAGGATAAGGATGTTGAAACTGTTGATGAGGCATGAAGTGTGGATGCTTTCAGAGGCAAGACAAAGGAGTTCGGCTCTGAAATGTTCAGCATCTAACACAGGCAGGAACCATCTGAACTGGTCCTATTGGAGAAACAATGATGTAAGATTGGTTTTTATACTTGCTGTTGATTCAGTTCGCTTTTTATTCTTTACAGTTATCTGTACACTGTACCTACATGCATACTAATAGAGGTAAATATTTGTAAGGACTGCTCAGTAAGTATCCTATTCTCTCTCAAGAGAAGGAAAAATAGCAAAAAACGGGCACTGTTCATTCTTATTCCACCAAGGTCAACCCTAAATACCTCCTCTGTGTCCTTTTTGGGCTGAAACAAGATAACAAGGACAAAAACTATCACAGCAAGGCTCTGGGCCCCTCCATTTACTGCTCAGGCCAAATCACTAATGAACAGATTGGAGCTTTCTTTCTAAACACTGATAAGAGACAACTTTGAATTAATGGGACCAGCTTCTCAGCTGTTATAAAGCAGTGTAGACCCTGCTGTTAGTGCTATCCCATTGCTCTGAGTCACTTCCTCATCACAGGGTGATTGAGAGGGATTCTGAAGCAAGATGCAGACTTCACAACTAACAGCTCCTGTAAGAGGAAAGGCAGAGTCAGACTTTCAATCATCCCCCCCTTACAACCTAGAGATTCGTGTGCCTGTCTCCAAACAGACCACTCTCTGGCCTACCACCAGCAGTGTCTGTGAACCCTGTAAGGCTAAGAGTGCTTATCAGTAGGATTTACACTTCATTGTCTAGGTACTTAATAAACCAGTAGTGCAAATCTACCTACCCTTACTGGTGTGTCTCTAAACCCTTGAAGTATTTTTAAGTGCTCAAAATGATCCACTTATCCAATGCTTATTAATGGTATTTGACCCAGGGGATTTCATACATTTCCAGAATAACTGGGACTGTCTTAAAGTGCTGTCTGCCTGCCAGCGTGTGTGTGTGTGTGTGTGAGAGAGAGAAAGAATTAACTATTTGGTAACCTCACAGCACTGATATAACTAGTAGCTACTCAAGAGTTATGTTTAACTCTTTTGTATTACTTATTTTGGTGTAGTGCTGGCTTGTTCAGGCTTTAGAATATCACATTGAGGGACTGGATTTTTTTCCCTTTACTGATCTTCATAACATTAGGTCATCCTTTATTCTCTCTCCAGGCAGTGTCTATGTCACAACTGAATAAGAAATTGTGTTGGTGGTATTTTGACAGTGGCTCTAACTGCCCCCTCTCTTTTGCCATGTTTGAGGCTTTACGATGGTGTGTTCTGCTTAAACTTTCTGATGTTGTAAGGATGTTGTTCCAACAGATGTGGGGGATCTTCTATAGGCATTCACTTTGGAATGAGTTGATCTTTTCAATCACACACATGGACTTGCATTATTTTGATCCACAAAAAAAGGACAGACGACAGTGGTGAAAATGTGCATTGTTGTCTGTGCTGATCATGCCACTTCTCTGA